AAAAAAAAGAAAAAAAGTCTTTGGGGTATATCTGGATTTTTTCTCATAATTAAGCTAACATGTGCCATATTTAGGTGTTAACCATTAGAAATGATATTGCAGAACACATAACACTGTCTTTCAATGAACTTGTTGATATTCAGAAGTAAAAAGCTCAAGTATTATTATATCTTCTGATAATCTTATTGGGTTCGGATTGAAAATAACAGACCAGAACAAAAACTCACATACATAAATGAAGCAAATTGCTAGAATATTAGATCATCAAACATTTATAGTGAATATTTCAATATACTTTTTCAACATAGCTTGAGAATTTTCACTACCGTAACTCGATAAAGAACTTTTTTTTACCTCTACTGCTGGAGTTCTTGGTGATCGGCGTTCGACATTTATAGGACTTCTATCTTTAGGTGTTTTTCTTACAGGACTTGGCGATAAAGAAGGATCAGAATCTGATCCTTGAGTTTTGAGCTTCCTTTCGGTGTTCGGTTTAGTGGGAGAACGTTTTTGAGGCACGTTCAGAGAACCGGGTCTGAATTCAAAACACACCAAACACATAAAAATCAATGGATTATTCGAGTCGAGTCGAGTCTCGTTTTGTATTTTTCGTTTTCAGGTTAATTCTACAAAAAAAGAAAGAAACAGTAAAAAGAAGTAAACATCTTTCAAATGAAAGATTGAACTTTTATAGCATTGAAGGTAACTTGGATTTCAAAATTATAGCATAACACAGAAATACAATTTCTTAACATACAATACATGAAAGCATACAGAGAAAATAAAGAAAAAAAAAAAAAACACACACACACACACATACACACACACACACACACACAACATGAGATGAGATTACCTTGATTTAGTAGTGGTCTGCATATTCTTGTTATCTCAAACAGAGAAAAAGGCCCAACCTGCAAATATTCAGATTGTTAAGATGGAACTCTTTTTTTCATGAATACACATATATGTATATATATATATATATATATATGTATATATATATACACCAATGGCCTAACAAAAACTATTGTGCAGAAACCTAACTACTACTAATCCATATTCAACTGACCAACCAACCTAAGAAAGAAAAAGGTTAAGTTATCCCCTTCAAATGGATACAAATGAAACAACCTCCACTTTAACAAGCAAATCTGTAACTCAAGAAAAAAGAGGAAAAGGAAATGAGACTAGTGGAAGTAGCTACCAAAAGAAAATCGAGTATAATTACGATAGCCGCGCTTTCGCTTTCCCTAGTTCTTTTTCCTTCATTTTCACTCCATGGATTGCACAGTTCAGTGATAAAGAAAGAACATATCTTTTAGACCTTATCATGTATAAAAATTTAATACAAACCCAACTCTAGAAAATTTGTTAAGATACTTAAGACTTTCAGAAAACCAGCATTCAGGTTATAAAATCAAACCTATTGAGACTATATGTTCAAGTTCAACAGCTGTTCTCCAAAACTTGAGGCAAATTTTCAACCTTTCATACACAGTTCCATAGCAAAATTTCTTCTTCTTTTTTTTTTTTTTTT